GGCCCTGGGCTCTAAGGTGAAGGAGGTAGTCCAAAATGAGCTGAATCGGGGCAGTCATGGGGGAACACCCCACTCAACTGCCCATCGGGAAAACCAAGATCACTTTGCCAAGTAGGCTCGGCATGTGGAGGGTTGCCTGCTTTCCAAGAGGACGTGTTGAACCCCTTCCGAGCATGTCCTTTCCTCCCGGCCTAACCATTGAGCAGCCACGCTGTGAGGTGGAGTGCCGTTAGGTTGGGGAAGAGGAGGTGGCTCTGGTCCTAGAGTAGGTCCAGATGGAATGGTAACGACCACAGCAGGGCGACCGCCAGGTTCGTGAGGGTCCCCTACCAATGCTGCCTGGGCCATGCTGGGGTAATCAGGAACATGCGGACCATGTCCATCTTTATCTTTTCCAGGACCCTGCCAATCAGGGGGATCATGGGGAAGGCATAGAGAAACTGGCCTGACCAGGACAGGAGGAAGGCATCGGAGATAGCGCCCTGTCCCAGCTCCCCTCCCCACCCCCGCCCCCCCTGGAGCAGAACCGGGGACAGCAATGGTTCTGCAGAGTCGTGAACAGGTTCACCTGGGGAGTTCCCCACTCTTGGAAAAGTCTGAGCGCCACCTCTGGGTGAAGAGACCACTCATGTTGAGAGGAGAAGTCCCTGCTCAAGCGGTCCGCCCACAAGTTCCGGACACCTGGTAGGTGGTAGGCCTGTTGGCAAATGTTGTGGGCTATACAGAAGTCCCACAGCCTGAGGGCTTCCGGGCAGAGGATCGGGCCCTGCCTTGCCTGTTGATGTAAAACATCGAGGCCATGTTGTCCGTGAGAACCCTGACCACTCTGCCCTCCAGGTGCAACGGAAGGCTATGCACGCCAGTCAGACCGCCCTGAGCTCTTTGACGTTTATGTGGAGGGCCAGGTCCTGTGCAGACCACAGACCTTGGGTCTGAACGTCTCCCACATGTGCTCCCCATCCTAGGTCCGATGAGTCGGACACCAGTTCCAGTGATGGGGACCCCGCGGAGTATGTTCCCCGGAAAGTACCACCATCGAAGGGAGACGATCACCAGTTCGGGCCCAGTGAGGACCTTGTCCATCCTGTCTCTGGCTTGGGAGAGCACCGAGGCCAACCAGAGTTGGAGGGGCCTCATCCTGAATCTGACGTGACGAACCACGTATGTACACACCAACATGTGACCTAAGAGCTAGAGACACGCTCTAGCTGTTGTCACTGGAAACCTTGTGATTGTGACGATGAGCCCTTTCAGGGTCTCAAACCTGTCTGGTGGGAGGGAGACTATGGCCGACATGGTGTCCAGGACCGCCCCGATAAACTCTATGCATTGTACCAGGACTAATGTGGACTTGGTGTCGTTTACCAACAGGCCCAGAGTGGTGCACGTGGACAAAAGGAGCACTACATGGTCCTGCTCCTGCGACCGGGAGCTGCCCTTGACCAGCCAGTCATCCAGATAGGGGAAGATCTGGACGCCGCGACATCTGAAGTAGGCCACCACCACAGACATGCATTTTGTGAATACTCTCAGAGCAGTGGACAGGCCAAATGGGAGGACCATAAATTGGTAGTGCTCCTGCCCAACCGTGAAATGGAGAAAGCGCCTGTGCCCCTCGAATATGTGGATGTGGAAGTACGCGTCCTCCAGATCAAGAGCGGCGTACCAGTCCCAGGATCCAGGGAGGGGATGATGGAAGCCAGAGAGACCATGTGAAACTTGAGTTTTAACATGTACTGGTTCAGACCTCGCAGGTCCAGGATAGGCCTGAGCCTGCCTTTGGCCTTCGGGATAAGGAAATAGCGGAAGTAGTACCCCTTGCGTTTGAACTCTGCTGGCACCACTTCCATTGCTCCTAGGCCAAGGAGCTGCCCCACCTCCTGCTCAAGCAGGGACTCGTGAGAGGGGTCCTCCAGGAGGGACGGGGATGGAGGGTGGTTGGGCAGGGTAGAGGTAAACTGGAGGGTGTAGTCCTGAGAGATGGAGCTGAGGACCCAACAGTCCAAGGTCAGACGCGACCATTCTGGGAGAAAAGCACACAACCGGTTGGAGAAGGGAAGCTTTATTGAGGGTGGATCCCTGATGAGAACTGGTAGGTTGTCCCCGGGCGTCCCATCAAAACTGCTGTTTCTCTGCTTGTTTGCCCTTGGAGGACCCAGGCTGGGGGGAAGACCGAGACTGTCTCTGCGGCCGTTTCTTATAGTCCTGCGACTTTTTTTTGCCCGGACAGCAGGAGCCATGACGCCCTTCTCGTGGACACCACAGAGGCCATGGACCGCGCCGGCATGTCTGCTACATTCAACGCTGCATGCAAGGTTGCCCTGGCAGCTGCTGTACCCTCCTCCACCAGAGCTTTGAACTCCTTCCTGTCATACTCCTGGAGGAAGTCCTCGAACTTGGGCAGAGAGCCCCATAGATTGAACTCATAACGGCCCAGGAGAGCCTAATGGTTCGCCACCTGTAACTGGAAGCTCGAGGACGAATACATTTTTCTCCTAAATGAATCCAGCCTCCCTGAATCTTTATTTTTCATAGTAGGGGCTGGTTGGCCCTGCCATTCCCTGTGGTTGACCGACTCAACCACCAGGGAGTTAGGAGCAGGATGGGTGTAAAGGTATTCATGTCCTTTGGTGGGCATAAAATACTTGCGTTCTGCTCTCTTAGAGATGGGGGCCAAGGAGGCCAGGGTTTGCCACAAGGTATTTGAAATTTTTGCCACCCCTTCATGGAGTGACAAGGCCACCCTTCCCGGTTCTGAGGCAGACAGGACGTTAAAAAGGGAGTCCGAAGACTCCTCCACCTCCTCTGCCTGAAGCTTGATATTTGATGCCACCCTTTTCAACAGCTCCTGGTGGGCTTTTGAGTCCTCCTGCGGGACAGAGGGGCTGTAATTGCCTCATCAGGGAAGGGCAAGGAGGCAGGCGCAGTACTCTGCGCATTCACCAGCACTGGAGGATCCACCCCCTGGTTGCCCTCCAGGCATGGCGCCGAAGATGCATGTCCCACCGACTCCTTCCTCGGAGGTCGGGAGAGGGAGGCCGACGGCCATTCCGAAGCTCCGGCCACGGAGCAAGCCCCCACTGGGGGCGTCCAGGGCCACGCTGCCCACTGGTACCACTGTGCCAGCCACGGGGCCCGGTGCCACTGCACCTGCTGTGGCACCGGCAGAGCAGGCTGTTCAGCCTGGCTGGCCTGACCCAACCCATCTATGGAAAACTATGAAGGGAGGCCAGGCAGGCTGACGTCCGACCTGCCGCTGTCCCTGGACTGGGAGGAGTGGCAGCGCCTGGAGCAGTGCCGACCACGAGATCGCGACCCCGACGTGGAGGAATGGTACCACTGATCGCAGCTGCTCCGTGATCGGCTCCAGAAGGCAGATCCGTGCCGGAGAGGGGCCAGCGATCGACGCCCGGGGCTGTGGGAGCGGTGCCGTGGCGGGGTCCTGGAGCGAGACAACGAACAAGAACGGCATCGAAGTTCGCGTCGCGACTGGCTACGATAGCCCTTCTGAGACGAGGACCTTCAGTGACGGCTGCCTGTGTCCCGTCATTATCTGCTCCTTGAGGCGGAGCGGGGTCTGGAGTCTGTGTCAGACGGAACCCAGCCAGACAACCTGGTGGGGGTCGATGGTGACCTGCGTGGACTACGCGCAGGATGGTCTCTGAATGGCGATGGGAACATTCCCTCGACCGAGAGCGGTACCAAGTCGGGGGTGACTGCGGAGATCCCAGTGGCGGTTTGCCTCTGAACCGCGAAGCCAACATTGGCGGTGCTCCTAGTACCGGCATGGACATAACGTCCCGGGCAGCGTGCAGGGCCTCTGGAGTGGAGGGCATCCGGACATCCGAGGAAGCCTGCTCCGAATGGGCCGGGCTACTCTGCTCGACCTGAGTTGAAGGCCTAGAAGCCTATGGGGACTGAAGACTGCCCAACATTGGTCTAGCCTCTCCGCCAGTCTTGCTCCAGTGCCGCGGCGGCGAAGGCCTCTTCTTAGCCTTCTTGGCGTGCCCCATGGACAGGGAGGTGGGGAGTTGCCGTGCGCTGACACCGTGGTACCCGATGGCAACTCGGAGCGGCGCACTGGAGTCGGGGTCAAAGCCGACTCCAGCAGGATGGCCCGGAGCCTAATGTCTCTCTCTCTCTCAGGGAAGAGGTTGGAATGGGGGCAGGGAAGGGGTGGGAAGAGGCGGGGCCTCCTGGAAGGCATGGAGTGGGGGCGGGGCTGGGGCAGCGTGGGGGGAGGGTCAGTGGTGTGGCCCTCAGGCCAATGTACTAGCCCTCATGTAGCCCTCGTGGTCATTTAAATTTGAGACCCCTGAACTAAACTAAACTAAAACTAATCAAACTACTAACTACACGTACCATACACTGAACGAACAAGAGTTCTGGGGACAAGTTGCAGCAAAGCTGGAGCAGAGCAGTTTCGAAGCACCTTCACTGGCAACAAGAAGGAACTGAGGGTTGGGGGAGCATGCAGCGCCCCTTATGCCGCGCCATGGAGGCGTCACTCCAGGGGTTGCTGGGGCGCTCCTCTACGGGTACTGCTGGGGGAAAAACTTCCGACACTGGTGCACATAGCGAGCACACACACCTACTGTGGAATACACATGAGCAATCACTCGAAGAAGAACATACACCCATGCAAACCTGTAAGATTTCTCTCCTGTTCAATATTTTTCCTTAAATCCAAAACTAATGAGGAAACACTGCCTTTGGTATCTTAATAAATTTTGTGACAGTAACCATGGTTTCCTTATATATCTTTACAGCACTTTGCACAATGGGGCCTCAATCCCAAATACAATATTTGGATGGAATAATCTTTTTGCAGTAGTTAGTAAATGGCAAAATAAATTGACTAAAATAGTGACAGCAGAAAAAAGGACTAACTGAAAAGTTTTAAAATATTTATAAATTATGCTACACTTCACCACAACCATTTTAAAGCAAACAGTCACAAAAATAGATCAGTGCTGCTTTACAGAAGTTGCCATGCTTACCTAGCATACGAATGTACAATGCAGTTTGATCAGAGCTGTCATAGGAAATTGCTCCACGTCTCTGTAAAAAATAAAGACAAACATCAATCTATTGTATGGATATTAATTAGTCTGATCCTTAAATTGCATCTCTTTTGAAGAACTATGGTCAACTTAATCTTTTAAAATTGACTAATTTAAAAAAAAATTCAGTTTTTGACAGTGCATCCTAATTTTATCCTGGCAAGAGCAGAGAAGTGCCAAGAGAAGGAGAGAACTAGTAACAGAGAAGCCAGGAAAGGAGAACTGCTAGCAAAGGGTCTTATACAGTGGTCCCCAAACTTTTCACGTCACACCCCCCATCTGCACCTCTGCCCCGCCCCTCCCGTGAGCCACCGTCGGAAGTCACAAACAGAGTCACGCTCGAGCTGGCAGCCGGGGCCATGGCTGGGTGCAGAGCCATGGCCATATGCAGGGCCGGAGCAGAGTTGGGGATAGGGACGGAGCAGAGCTTGGAATGGGGAGGGGCTAGGTGACGCTCCCCTCCCACCAGACCCCATGGAGACTGGCCTGGGGCCCACTGAACTGCCCGAACCTTCCTCCACATCCCTCCTTAAGGGGGTGCACCCCACAGTTTGGGAACCATTGGTCTATGAGGAGTGCTCAATTTCCGCCCCCCCCCCACTGCTTCTCCAGCTGCCTCACAAAATCATGTAGCATTGTATATCAGTGATGAGGTAGAATGTAAAGAAATAAGAAGCGATGGAATGGATAAGACAGAGTCCGTCTGGGCAAAAAATAAACCAGGGAAGAAAACTACTAGAGCCTCCCCTGGGACAGTGCTTGGAGTGTGCTATAGACCGCCGGGATCTAATTTGGATATGGATAGAGCCCTCTTTAAGGTTTTTAATAAAGTAAATACTAATGGAAACTGCGTGACCCTGGGAGGCTTTAAATTCCCAAATATAGACTGGAGGACGAGTACTAGTAATAATAATAGGGCTCAGATTTTCCTAGATGCGATAGCTGATGGATTCCTTCATCAAGTAGTTGCTGAACCGACTAGAGGGGATGCCATTTTAGATTTTGTTTTGGTGAGTAGTGAGGACCTCCATAGAAGAAATGGTTGTAGGAGACAATCTTGGTTCAAGTGATCATGAGCTAATTCAGTTCAAACTGAACGGAAGGATTAACAAAAATAAATCTGCAACTAGGGTTTTTGATTTCAAAAGGGCTGACTTTCAAAAATTAAGGAAATTAGTTAGGGAAGTGGATTGGACTGAAGAACTTATGGATCTAAAGGCAGAGGAGGCCTGGGATTACTTTAAATCAAAGCTGCAGAAGTTATCGGAAGCCTGCATCCCAAGAAAGGGGAAAAAATGCATAGGCAGGAGTTGTAGACCAAGCTGGATGAGCAAGCATCTCAGAGAGGTGAGAAAGAAAAAGCAGAAAGCATACAGGGAGTGGAAGATGGGAGGGATCAGCAAGGAAAGCTACCTTATTGAGGTCAGAATATGCAGGAATAGAGTGAGACAGGCTAAAAGTCAAATAGAGTTGGACCTTGCAAAGGAAATTAAACCAATAGTAAAAAGTTCTATAGTCATATAAATAAGAAAAAATAAAGAAAGAAGAAGTGGGACCGCTAAACACTGAGGATAGAGTGGCGGTCAAGGATAATCTAGGCATGGCCCAGTATCTAAACAAATACTTTGCCTCAGTCTTTAATAAGGCTAAAGAGAATCTCAGGGATAATGGTAGCATGACAAATGAGAATGAGGATATGGAGGTAGATATTACCATATCTGAGGCAGAAGCGAAACTCGAACAGCTTAATGGGACTAAATTGGGGGGCCCAGATAATCTTCATCCAAGAATATTAAAGGAATTGGCACATGAAATTGCAAGCCCATTAGCAAGAATTTTTAATGAAGCTGTAAACTCAGGGGTTGTACCGTATGATTGGAGAATTGCTAACATAGTTCCTATTTTTAAGAAAGGAAAAAAAAGTGATCCAGGTAACTACAGGCCTGTTAGTTTGACATCTGTAGTATGCAAGGTCTTGGAAAAAATTTTGAAGGAGAAGGTAGTTAAGGACATTGAGGTTAATGGTAAATGGGACAAAATACAACATGGTTTTACAAAAGGTAGATCGTGCCAAACCAACCTGATCTCCTTCTTTGAGAAAGTAACAGATTTTTTAGACAAAGGAAACGCAGTGGATCTAATTTACCTAGATTTCAGTAAGGCGTTTGATACCGTGCCACATGGGGAATTATTAGTTAAATTGGAAAAGATGGGGATCAATAGGAAAATTGAAAGGTGGATAAGGAAATGGTTAACAGGGAGACTACAACGGGTCCTACTGAAAGGTGAACTGTCAAGCTGGAGGGAGGTTACAAGTGGAGTTCCTCATGGATCAGTTTTGGGACCAATTTTATTTAATCTTTTTATTACTGACCTCGGCACAAAAAGTGGGAGTGTGCTAATAAAGTTTGCGGATGATACAAAGCTGGGAGGTATTGCCAACTTAGAGAGAGACCGAGATATCATACAGGAAGATTTGGATGACCTTGTAAACTGGAGTAATAGTAATAGGATGAAATTTAATAGTGAGAAGTGTAAGGTTATGCATTTAGAGATTAATAACAAGAATTTTAGTTATAAGCTGGGGACGCATCAATTAGAAGTAACGGAGGAGGAGAAGGACCTTGGAGTATTGTGGCATCTTAGAGACTAACAAATTTATTTGAGCATCTCTATTTGTTAGTACTCTAACAAGTACTCCTTTTCTTTTTGCAAATACAGACTAACACGGCTGCTACTCTGAAACTTGGAGTATTGGTTGATCAGAGGATGACTATGAGCCGCCAATGTGATATGGCCGTGAAAAAAGCTAATGCGGTCTTGGGATGCATCAGGCGAAGTATTTCCAGGAGAGATAAGGAGGTTTTAGTACCATTATACAAGGCACTGGTGAGACCTCACCTGGAATACTGTGTGCAGTTCTGGTCTCCCATGTTTAAGAGGATGAATTCAAACTGGAACAGGTACAGAGAAGGGCTACTAGGATGATCCAAAGAATGGAAAACCTATCTTATGAAAGGAGACTCAAGGAGCTTGGCTTGTTTAGCCCAACTAAAAGAAGGTTGAGGGGAGATATGATTGCTCTCTATAAATATATCAGAGGGATAAATACCGGAGAGGGAGAGGAATTATTTAAGCTCACTACCAATGTGGACACAAACGGATATAAACTGGTCATTGGGAAGTTTAGACTTGAAATTAGACAAAGGTTTCTAACTATCAGAGGAGTGAAGTTTTGGAATAGCCTTCCAAGGGAAGCAGTGGGGGCAAAAGACCTATCTGGCTTTAAGATTAAACTCGGTAAGTTTATGGAGGAGATGGTATGATGGGATAACATGATTTTGGCAATTAATTAATCTTTAAATATTCCTGGTAAATAGGCCCAATGGCCTGTGATGGGATGTTAGATGGGGTGGGATCTGAGTTACTACAGAGAATTCTTTCCTGGGTTTCTGGCTGGTGAATCTTGTCCGTATGCTCAGGGTTTAGCTGATGGCCATATTTGGGGTCGGGAAGGAATTTTCCTCCAGGGCAGATTGGAAGCAGCCCTGGAGGTTTTTCGCCTTCCACTGCAGCATGAGGCACGGGTCACTTGTTGAAGGATTCTCTGCACCTTGAAGTCTTTAAACCACAATTTGAGGACTTCAATAGCTTAGACATAGGTGAGAGGTTTTTCGCAGGAGTGGGTCGGTGAGATTCTGTGGCCTGCGTTGTGCAGGAGGTCAGACTAGATGATCATAATGGTCCCTTCTGACCTTAATATCTATGAATCTATGCCCTCCCTCCCCACTAGTACAACAAAAATAAGGAAAAATTGACACATGCAAAACTTTGGTTATGTGGAGTTACAGGCTGCAGATACCTCAGCAGTGGCCTGTGCTCCTCATACTCATCTAGAATGTTAAAGCTTAGTTCACAGAACAAACATTTGCACTTCCTGCTTTTCTATTTTTCTTGTAACTAGAGGCAAATAACAGATTTTTAATTTCACTGCAATTCTGAAAAGTTTAAAAAAAATCATTTTGGGCCAGACAGAAAATTAAAGTGTGAAATTTTCAGCAAATCAAAGAAAAACATCATTATGGGTCAAACAAAATATTCTGTTCAACCCAACACTAAACATTTCATTTCAATTTCCTGATTTTTTAAATGCAAAATTAAAGGTAATTTCAAAATGAAAAGTCATTGTATACCAAAAAACAAAACAAAAAAATCAAAATGTTTTATTTAGAAAATGTCAAAAAAGTTTCAATTTTTTAGAATATTGTGTTTTGTCCCCAAATGAACAATTCTGCAAAGCTAACACAATTCACAAAATGTTTATACATGGCTGAATCTGCAAATTTTTTTTATCAAAAATGTCTTGCCTGAAAAATTCTGCCCAGCTCTATTTGTTCCAGAAATTTCTAATGAGGATATTTTTAATTACATATTTCCTGGGTTTGTAATGTCAAAGTCCAGAGGATTAAATTCACATTCTGAAAGGATATAAGGAGTACAGGGCACTATGGAGCACCTGCACCCTTCATACCACATTTTTCTTTATTTGCTTATAGAGACCAGTGAAACAAAAAAATATTGCATAAAGATATTTTAAAGCACAGGAACGAGACCTGCACCACCACATATGAAATGTCATTTATGAGCTATCAAAATGATTACTTCCTCAGGGCATTCAAAGACTCAGAGCAGGCTGTACTTCTTACCCCATAAACTTATTTCATACTGCATGCCTTGATACTCAGGGCTTGTCTTCACTATGGGGATAAGTCAACCTAAGTTACGTTACTCCAGCTACATTACTCACATACTCTGGTGTTTTCATGGTGCTGAGTTGACAGGAGACGCTCTCCGGTCGACTTCCCTTTCTCTTCTCAGAAAGTTGGAGTGCCAGAGGCGACTGGAGAGCGCTCTACCATAGATTTAGCAGGTCTTCACTAGACCCACTAAATCGATCCCTGCTGCATCGATTGCAGCAGCAGTGATCTCCCCATAGTG